TGTGAGTTATATAACACTTTTCTCCAAAACTAAAAAAAAAAAAACAAAATAAAAATATACTTAATAATTTTCTTGAAATTTGAAGATACATTTTGTGTATTTGCTAGTTTTCAATTTCATGTATACAAAAAAATAATTGATTAAAATTTTTATGGTCCTTGACTTCCTTGCAAATTAACTCGCGTGTATCTTGTCCGTTTGAAATTTAATTAGGCTTAATGCAACAAATTATAGCGTATCACTAATTACTCTACGTATCGATTTGGACAATTTCTAATGACGAATCCACACCCTGGTCTCTATCCGCAAAATATTAATAAATAATTCTACAATTTACTGAATTAGAAAACTTTTCACTTGTTAATGGATTATTGTGTTATGTACTTCTTGTAAAATGTTTATTCGAAATAAAAGCTATTTAAGAACATTAGAATTCGAAACTACAGGTGTTAGTTATTTGTATTTAATTGACGATGATATAATGTAGAATTATAAATTTGCTATTTTTAAAATAGTAGGTAATGTTGACAGACGGGTATCTTTGCATGCACATTATAAGTGTGAACCGCATACAGGTACATATTAAAATTTACCTTCAGTACAGGCAATTCTTTTTAATCACAATTTTACGATTATTTATTTCAGTTGATAGTAATGTAACAAAACCGTCGTATATGTACGTACTTTGCCCTTTTTTTTTGTGACTTACAAATCACCAAAGGTTATCTTATTAATAATAATTACATATTAGTTTGTGTACTATTTATCCTAAAAAATATTTTTTTAGATTCAAAAATGTAAAAACAGAACTAAACTAAAAACATGCACATAAAAACCTAATGTATTTATAGTTATTAGGGGCGAGTTTTTTTTAATTTTAACAGCATAAATAACATATAATTTTATCATCCTTATTAATGATGTCATAAAATTATCGTCCTTGGAAGTGCATCAATTAAATAGGTACTAATATACTTAATACCGCGGGTACCTCACGTACAATGTTTGGAGCAGATTAGATACGTTATCTTTCAAAATATTTTTTTACTGTACAAAAAAATACATATAATATTCTGTTATTGTTTGGCCGTAAAAAAAAATCAATCATTAATATTACATTACGATTATACTTTAGACATAAGTTTTTCTAAGTATAAATTAAAATAAACCAATTGTTCTGTACCTAAGGTTGTTGATTTCTTCGTTAAATTTTATTTAAAAATTTCTTACACTATCAAACAACTATGCTGTACCTATATGGTACCTATTATAAAATTGACGCAAATTAAAGTATTTGTAGTAACTGATAGTAAATAGCTAAATTAGAAACAAACACTTGAACCATTCCAAAACGTAATGCAAAATAACAACTACCTATTAGTCATAGCCTTCGTTGCTACAACAACTAATCGCAAAACTGACAAAACTTATCTGTTTTTATTGTGTTTTTTTTATATTATTACAATTTAATCAAACTGCCTAGGTGTTAGTGGAAGGGAAGGGTGATACATTAGTGTCTTCGGCCCATGATCAAGTTTATCGATTTCACGAAATTTATCATATTTGTAATGTAATTTTAATTTTGGAAATCCACGCAAGTTTTCGGTTATATCTTCAATTTAAAGATATTATTCATTGTTTCTATACAGCGGATAACTTATTATCAGTATCGTCATGGTCATCAATTCATTAAATATTCATCATCAATTCAAATCCGGTTTTACAGTATGCAGATATAATATATTATATGTATTTGCAAATACAATTACTTCAAGTACGCATTCGCGATATTATTTTTATTAATTAACAAAGTTACAGAAGATATGTAATTAATATTTTAATTATTTACAGGTGCTACGACTTTGGGGCAAATGTAAATTGCACATTATCAAAATTGCCAACACTACGAACGCGTCACCAACGTGACCGACAAGAAAAAGTAAATATTATGTATAATTCCTTTCCCTACACACATATAAAGTATTCCAACATTCCATTAGCGTCCTTGTAACGCCTAAAATATCACCTTAATAACACCATACAGAATATAATAGTATACACAGAGTACCGACATGATAAGGTGTTACAGAGTTACCTCATACATTTCATTGGTGTGCGTCAATCGAACATTATTCATAGGAGAGAAGGGGGGCAAAAATAATAACATTATAATTCTGAGCAATTCGCGAATTCACACTTGCTGTTATAGGATACATACCTTACAGACTGCGAATATCTATGCAAACGATGTAATTGTTCTTAACGCAAACCAAATGAAGACAACAATAATTTAATAATACATATAATGATAGGAAACACACAGACAATTGAATGTACATATAAAGGTTTAAAAATTCAATAGCTGTTCTAAATAAATGTTTTTACATATATGCATATCTATGTTTTAGCATTTATGTACATTTTTACAGTATATCCCAAAAGGGTTATAAAAACAAATAATTAAAGAAATGCTGTTAAAAAAACAGATACAATTCAGTACGCGTGAAAGAAGTGAAACTTCTTTGGCTATCTCTATACCTTTATAACGAATAAGTAATGATTGGTGAAAGAAAAAGAGAGTACGAGAATTTTCAGGATTTATGTTTTCCAACATATTTTATCTTTAGTCCACTACAAGGAATTAGAATTGATACATAATACTCACTCTTAAATAAATATTAATTGTTGTTAAATAAACATTTACTGTAATACTCTTAGTGTAATATAACTGCACAGATATAACAAAAAAATTAATTTAGCACTACGGTATAGTAAATATACATTATACTATAACAAATGAGATGACAACTAACTGTAATACTAATAAACCTTTTTATTCTCATGGCTTATCGTTTCGCGAGACAAAACGTTGCAAAACGTGTCGTCTCATGGCTTTGTGATTTAAGTCTCCTCGAGCCTAAAGAAGTTTCACTTTAAAAATAAAAAATAGTATTCCAGAGGGACAGAAAAATTAGTTTTATATGGTCGATTTCACGCCTTAATTACTCAGTCGATCATCACGAAATGAGTTATTATTGATTAATTATGGCAAAGTAATGAAAGGTTACTTTTTGTTATACGAAAATAAAAAAGCAATTGTAATAACTTTACAAAGAGTACTTTATAGTAATCTAGAGATTTGGATTTTTATCAAATTTATTTATTATTATAACTAAGAATTGTTAAGTTTATTTTAATTTTATTTACTGTGTAAAATCCATTTTTTAACAATTATCTAGTCTAATTACGAATGTGATGGGTACTCAACAGTGACCATTTCTAATTAAATTGTAAGTGACATGAACAAGTAAATTTTGATTGTATATCATCAAAAACGGTTGCAATCTTTTCTAGCAAATAAAACAACGCTTAGTTGCGACGATGGTGCAAAATATTAAAAGTAACTTTCTATGAAAAACAAAAATTAGTATTATAAAAATTAAGTAGAACACGAACATGAGTAACAGAACTTTTCGGATTAATTTTTAATGTTTCTTTCCAACAGTAGAAAATCGCGTAGTACTTTCTAATTGCACACATAAAACTTTTTTTTAATTGATCGCGAGTATAATTTTAAATACGACTATGAAAGTTTTTGGTTGTGTACCAAATTCTCGGTAAAATAAGGAGAAAATGCACTTATATGAAAGAAATTTTTAACACTGTAGTGTATAGTAATAAATCAACAAATTTTCTGTATCAATCAACGTAGACAAGTAATACCTTTAAAAGCACATTTTCTTTAATATTAAATGAAACGAAGAAACCTTTTGTTAATTTTGAATTGATTTAAAAGTTATTTAACTTAATGGAAATGTAATTTATCGATATTTCGCAATTAAGGAAGTAGTAGGGAAACGAATTTTCATCAATTTAAAAATAAAACTATAATAATATTATGGTTGGTATAATAGAAAAATCAGTGTATTTAAATGTAATACATGATAGGTATCAGCAAATAAGTTTTCCTGAAGGTTCCGCAATTTAGCGGACCCATAATGAAACTAATTTTAGTTAAGTATTGAAAACTAATTAGGCAACTCCTGGCCTTCGTTTTTTTAGGAATTGCCTGACCCATATACTATATGTATCTACTTTACAATACTAAACAACCGATAACACTTTGCCGACATTAAAAAAACAAGTTTTAAATCCCAATTGCATAATAGTTAATATTAATACATTTATATTTTAAAAACTGTCATTTGAACTCAAAAATAATAACTGCTCTTTACCCGTGGCATATACTTTACAATTTTAATAAAATAATAAAAACAAAATTTGACGAAAACCAATAAATACCCTACCTACGGCGTTGGAAGACGATCGGGATAATCGGGCTTGTCTCTTAAGCCTATCCCTATCCCGCTGGCCGATGTTTTCCCTCGGCAAGGAGTTGACCAAAATATTTCGCAAGTGTTCAAGGGTACCGCTCAGGTCCGTGCCCTTCAAACTTAATTCTACGTCAGGTCCCATGACGTCTATTTATTTACACTGTGCACTTGAGTTGGTGCGATCTAATAAATCATTGTATTACTGCACGCGCAACGTCTTCGTGACTCAAACACCTCGTGCACTACCGCGGTTTCATTCTTTTAACAAACTTGTTCAAAGAATATGACGAAATTGTCTTGCGCACAAACTTATTAAAATATATTTGTAACAATAATCATGTATTGACGTTCACCTATCGCTAATCGCTGCGCGGACCCTGCGAAGATGATGTCCACTATTTTATTTACCCGAGTATATTTGTGTACTGCTCCTTAGTATACAAGATACATGTGTGTATTAAACTACGTGGGTGCATCTTGTAGGGTCACTTTACTTTCCAATGTTTATACGAACAAAAACTATTACAGAAAATTTTCAACTTCACGGTAACACCTACATATATATATCATACACTTTTCAACAGAAATTGTGTTTTATAATCATAATCCTGCTGTCCCAACTTTTATCTAAAAAGCCAACAGTTTAACTCGTTATCTACTTTTAATTCCTTAAAATTAAATCGGTTCTATTAATCACCTAAGTACTCGAGTAAAACATAGAAATAAAAAAAAATGGACATTACTAAGAACTAATTAATTGATTAGTACCCACTGATATTAGGCAACCAAAATAACACTAATTGTAAATGGTCAATGTCGAGCATACTATGAGCTATTGAATTTTTTACAAATTTGAGATTGATGTATTTTTACTAAACTTGAATTTTTATTTTGAAGTTTCTTTGTTGACAGATACTCAAAACTAAATTTTATTTAATCTGATCAAAAAAGTATTGCATAATTAAATACAAAAATGCCTAATTTTTTTTGCAAAAAAGACGAAATAAGGTCCTAATATATCCCTATACATAGGTATATTTTGCAAAGTATCCTATTATTTTACACCAATGTCTTTTTCCAACTTATAATATCTAATTTTGTAATTACAGTATTATTAATAAGTTTTAATGTATAAAATAAATATAGCTATGATTACGAAAAGCATTCTTTTGATAAACAAAGTTTAAATATTATTATTATTATGTTTACGTATACTTATTGTAGCGAAAATTAATTTTTGATAATAAGACCAAACGAACAGATTATTTACATTGTTGGAATACAAAAATTTCAAATCAATTATTTTTGAACTCGATTTTTACTCGATTAACAAACGTATATATATATTTTATTTTTTGAAAAATAATTAGCAGAGTTCTAAGCATAGAATTAATTAAAAGTACAGATTGGGTTGTTGTGATACGTTTTCACCTCGGCCATTCAAATAAATTTAAGGGACAAACTATGCTCAACACAGATGCACTAAATTCCGCACTTTTGCTCTATTTGTTTCTTAAAATAGACATTTTAAAAACCATGACAAGCAAGTTGAACCAACTGCTTTAAAATACTGTACGAAATCATGTACTAAGTTAATACAAGCTTGACTATTTTGTTTATATTATGTACAATTAAATTTTACGAATGAACAATTGTAAGGAAACGACTTCAAAAAAAAAAGGTTAATACTACACCCTTACCGAATGATTCAAATCACACTATCAAGATAATAAAATCAATTGTCAGTAATATGCTAAAAAAATAATCAATTTGCTCATCCTGTAAACGGAATTTGCTATTACAACGGTTTATGACTACAAAACGATTACATTGAAAAATTGATGAAATGGATACCAGTAAATTAACAGCCATAAAAAATAAATGTTGTTCATGGTGAAAACCGTAAATAATTGAATATAGGTATTTGTAAGAACAATATTGCAAATCGTTTATAGTTATCAGTAACAAGGTCTTTAGAAATAAGAAAGCTAATTGCAGCAAATATTTAACATATTACAGATTTTCTTTTGTGCTTCAATAACGCTATGCAGAAACCTTCCTTTTTAAAATGTTAGATAGAAATTTTTATATGTAAATTAATGGAAAGAAATTGAATATAAACAAGCAAAAGTTGGCATTGTTTTGCACATTTTTAAAAATAATTGACTACGTACCTCCTTTATAAAAGTAAACTTGAATTACAAGTTAGATTAGTTCAAAGGCAAATAGAACTTTTTATATTGCATAATAACTACTAGCTGCTATGTAATTTACTCCTACAGTTTTAGTAAGAAATTGTGCCACTATTACTTACTAATCTAATTTACACATTCTCATGTTTATGATTTAGTGTTACATCTTGACATCTTAAATATGTAAAACATTTTTAGTAAAGGAAAGTAAATTTAGGTATTTTATCTACAAATATAATGAGAAATTGCATCAATAGAACCACAAAAGAATGTGTGGGTACACAATTAAGCAAGAAAACGGAAATATATGAAAAAATACCAGATAATGTGACAAAACAACAATATCTTTAAGAATTAGTAATTAAAGAAATACCTAAATCATATATGTACATACTAAAGTAAATTTAATTTTTTTAAATAATTTTAACAATTCGTGAATTAATAACTTTATTATTATTAACCAGCAATTAGCAAGTTCTTCCTGAGGAGATACACGAAACCTGTAAGAGGGAGAAACCCCCCTTTAGACAGGTGTAGAAGTATTTAAATATGTATAATTCATTTACTATGTTTGTACACAACGACTAAACGAATAAAATGTGAATTTTGCAAATTTGGTGCAAATTAGAAAGAGTCATACGTTTGGCATAAGCTGAAAAGGTTGTTGTTGCCCAAGTTGTTTAGTATGCTAATATAAATTAGGTGAAATCACTGGAAATTTTAGATGACATTTACTGATAATAAATTTGTGCTAAACAGGGTTGACTATCAGCTTATGCTTTGCTGATAACATAAGTATTGAATGCAATGACAATGAAAAGTACAAACCATCGACAAAAATAGTTTTTACGTATTTTTCAAATTTAACCACACCGGTAAACGTATGCATTCCGTAAGATTACTGAACTCTGCAATGCCTAAGGGGCATTTTTAGATACGAAAATATTCAAAATACAATACCGTCATATTTTAAGATTGAACAAGACTTGTCTAGAGATTGTTGAGGCGAATAATATCAATAATCTTTCCAAGCAAATGAAGTACCACTTTTATCGTCAAGCGAGCAACAAGAATGGCACTAGTTTAATTATTTTAGCACTACCTAATTGTCGTTTAATAAAAAGCTGTTTTTTTATGTATTTGTAATAAAATAAGAACATGAACTACAGATGGTTTGGCTCTTCTTGTTATGTAATATTGCAGAACATAAAAACCTTGATTGTTAATTCCACAAAACAAGCTACATATTAGAGATGAAGGGTAAGAACATTAATATCACTGTTTAATTACCTGTGTGTTTTAACTGATCGCAGCTATTCTCTGCACTTTCTGCCATTTTGGCACACGAAAGTACCAACACTACACAATTCAGATTCACAATTACCCGCACGTAACACACTCCCACAGCATGAGATGTACGACCATAGGAAATGGAGTCCGATACAATGCTGTTCGGTTGTTTCCGCAACTTAACAAGAAATTTAAAATTAATACATTAATTTTACCTTTTTCTTAATTTATTCAAATCAGTCCGTAATTGCCTATGAGACTATTTCTTATGGAATGATGTTTACTACTTTTAAACAAACCTGCATGTAATGTACAATTCGTTAGAAACTAGATTCAGCAGTATTACCAACAACGAGAAATTGAAATTTTAAATTGACCTACCCGAAGATATTTACAGGTGCTACCCGGTTTACAATAATTATACTTCGGTTTTTGAAAACCTTTCAATATTTAAGTAATTATAAAGAAGTAACTCATTGTTAAATGAAAAATTAGAAAGCTATGCTACAAATTTGTATAAATATGTGTAAACTAATTCACGCCTTTTATAGGCAACCAACCTTGCTTCTAAGAATTTTAAACGTCTAATTAGATGAACAATAATTTTTAATTAGTTGTTGGCTATTTATTTTATAACTACTTCGTTACTTTTTTATTTCTCCAATATATTTGTAGTTCTTGTATTTGTATTTAATTTAACTATACAGCTCCCTTTATTTTACTTATTTTGCAGAAAACTACTCTGAATTACTTATTAATGTAACATTAAGTTTATAATCTTTCCTCTAAAGTAAATAATGCTAAATACTATTTTTTTAAGTTTCTATTTCAAAAATATATATATATATTGATAAAATAACATACAACATATATGAAGTTAAAACAGCAATATAAATCAATTTGAACAGATATTATTATAATTTATTTTATCAGTTGGGGGCAAACACTAAGGCTACTCTGGAAGGTATGTATACCTACAAAAGAATGTAAATTATTAAAAAATACACTTTTCACTTTACAAAGATATAGATTACATACCTGAAATGAATGTGAACGCCCAGCAAAGCCCTCATTTTGTATAAAGTACGTCATAGAGGTATCTATTCGCCCATGACCTCCAAATTGAGTGTCATCTGAGCAAAGAACAATTTTTAGAACTCCTCCATAATTAACTCCTACACGATAATCGGTAAAACTTTTAGTTGGATGGAAGTTAAAAATAAAAACAAGACCAGCTCGTTCAAATGCGATGACTTTATCATCTTCATGTTTCCAACTTACATAAGCAGGATCTTTGTGCAGCCAACCATATTTTTCCTCCAAATGATTCATTGCGGCATCCCATGCATTTAAATATTTATATTTTAAGAGCTCATCATCTACCAAATTCCACTGCCTTCTGGCATAATGATAAGAATTGTTATTTCCTTGTCTGGGAAAATCTAGCCATTCAGGATGACCAAATTCATTTCCCATAAAATTTAAATAACCTTCGCCCCCAAGAGCATGAGTGATGAGTCTTATTATTTTGTGGAGTGCTAATCCACGATCAATTATGGCAGAAGGTTCAGATATGGTACTCATGTGTGTATACATTTCTTTGTCCATCAGCCAAAAGGCAATTGTTTTATCTCCTACAAGTGCCTGATCATGAGACTCTGCATACGCAATGTTTCCTTCCATCCATCGCCTATTTGTGAGGGTATGAACGATATTTCCCATATTCCAATCGTCATCTTTTGTATCTTTAAGTAATTCAATCCATTTATCAGGAATAGCCATTGCTAGACGATAATCAAATCCAAGACAACCTGTTGAATAAATGTTATTTCAAAATTTGTTCACCAGTATACTAAAAAACTAGTCCCATAATATAGCACTTTACTTATTAGATCTATCATGGAATTTATTTCCTAAACGCAAATTCAAAATTACCTTCTGTGACAGGTCTGCAGGTTCCTGGCATTCCAGAAACATCTTCGGCTATTGTTATTGCCTCAGGATGAAATTTATGAACCATGTAGTTAGCTACCATTAAATAAACCACAGCTTCCGTGTCAACATTTAGACCAAAATATTCATCATAATGTCCACTAAATCCCTGTCCAACGCCTCTTGAATGATAAAGCATTGACGTTACACCATCAAAACGAAATCCATCAAAATGATATTCTTCTAGCCACCACCGTAAGTTTGATAGTAAAAATCTTTGCACCTCGATTTCAGAATAGTTAAATAAACGACTATCCCACAAAGGATGATTTCCCCTTGCTCCAGTATGAAAGAAGCAAGCATCAGTGCCATCAAACATATTAAGGCCATCAAGAACATTTTTGCAAGCATGTGAATGAACAACATCAAGTAAAACATATAATCCTAGTTCATGGGCTCTATCTATTAAACGTTTCAGCTGTTCAGGTGTACCATATCTACTAGATGCCGCAAAAAAACTGGTTACTTGATAACCAAAACAAGCATAATATGCATGTTCCATTATAGCCATTAACTGAATTGCATTGTAGCCTTGCTTTACTATACGAGGCAAAATATTGTCAGTAAAATTATCATAAGTTCCTACTTTAAGTTCTGAAGTGGCTATGCCCACATGGCATTCATAAATGCGGAGACTCTTTGGCCTTTGTGGTCTGGGATGTTTAAACTCATACTTCTGTACAACATAAACAAAATAATAATTAAGAAAAAGTGAAACATTAGGGTAATTTAACAGGAAGTTCTGGAGTGAGAAACTTCTTTTGTGGATGAATAAGATTGAATATTAAAAAAAGTAAATTAAACAAGTAAACTGTTTTTATTTCTATTCAACATTTAATGCTATCTTTATTTCACACTATTATCATACCTTTTTTTGCTTTCATGTTTTTTAATTTTTAAGTATTAGCCAGACTGGCAGGTTTTGTACCTGCTGCTGGATTCAAATGTTTTTTAGTTATCAATTACATTTATTCTATGTAATTTTGTATCTGGCATAAATATATAAATAAATCAAAAAATCAAATAAACATATACCTCATGTTTAGGTGGGTGCCATAATTTGTGTCTGTATATTGTACCTTCTACTTTTGGTGGTTCTACAACATAAGTTGCCCATGGTGACAAACGGTCTTCTCTACTTCCTGAATGTGTTTGTACAACTATCTATTAAAATTAAATTTAAAATTAGAATATGATAGAACAGGCAGTTTATATAATTACTTTAACTTCTGAATTGTGTGGTATTGGACAAGAACCATCTGGATTAGGGGATAAAATAAGTTCCCACTTTCCAAATTCCAATTTTTTGAAAGGCAGACTTTCTCTGTTCCAGCCATCTAAATAACAGTGACATTGAAAACAATGAAGAAACAGAAACAGAAAATAGTTAATATGTTAATTCTTAATGTGACAATAGTGAGACTTACTGAATTCTCCAGTTAAAAACAGCTGTTGAGCAGAAGGGGCCCATTCTCTACAAACAACTGAATTATCAGGCTGTACATTTATTCCAAATCTTTCGTAACTCCTTGAAAAGTTATCTAAACCTCCATCTACTTCTTCTATTTTTTCTATAGTATCTTTAAAGCACGCATACCTAAGAACAAAAGTACATAAAACAATAACAAATACATTCCTTAAACTGGCATTTCACCGAAATTATCAAATACATTTGACTATATATGGAAATTGGTATATATATTGTTTACATGCATATATATACCTAACCTTCACAATGTCATCTGCAAATTAAAAGTATTTACCGGCGTCGTATTTCTCTCTCATATGTTTTTAAATATCCATCACGTTGAAAAAGAGCCTCAATTTCAGGAACTTCAACTTCCATTGGATCCATTGACGAATATTTACCCCCCATCTTAATTGGTAAATAAAACAAGAAACAGAAAATAGAAACGTATATATGAATCGAACGATAAACCGCACTGTTCTAGCTAAATAATTGAACAATTTATTAAGTAACACCCAAGAACAAATCTGGGACAAAATAACTTTTGATATCTTTTTAAAGGTCAAATGGTATTTGATAAGAAATTAAAATATACGAAAAATATTTTTACCTTTAATTGGTATATGAATTATCTCGTACTAATCCCTCTTAAGTAGTACAAATGCAGTTTTATTGATATGCAACATAATATGCAAACATGCATAGATAATGCATATATGGCAAAATCAGCGACGACAGGTCATAAAAAGTTTTTGACCTGTTGTTCGCCTATTCAGTGAGTGGTAGCGCAAATTTGGCAAAAATTTGTAAGCAATTTACGATAGAGTTCAATTTTTAACACTAGATGGCTATATTTTAAAACGTAATATACAGGGCGATTAAAAAAAAATCCAGTGTTCAAAATAATAAATAATTTTAATATTTTTGTGTACATTACACATTGCAAAAATGTTTTATAGAAACTTTTTAGGCATTATTAAGAAATATTTTCCATATAGTATAATATATCACTCTTAAAACATTTTCTTTATTAAAAAAAGAAAAATCTGAACTTTTTTAACAATTTCAATTTAACTAAAGAATTAGTCCAGTTTTAGGAGCTGTTATATAATGTTTGTCTTTTTGATTAAATAATTATATTTTCTGGAACTGTATTTTTTAATATACTTGGGCACTGAGAGTTGATTAGTAATTTAATCAAGGACTAAAAATACTTTTCCCCATTCGGCGTTGTTGGT